AAAAAGGAACCTCGGAAACCTTAAGCTGAATTCTTAACAATGCAGCAATAAAACTGGCTGGCATTCAAACCCACAAACTCAATCAGTAACAAGGTTTGTCGGTTAAAGGACCCTCTGCAGCGGCTTATTAAACAAAACAATTTAGTTTATCTAATACCCTGCAATGATTGTGAGGTGAAATACATAGGTCAAAATAGTAGAACAAGTGCAGTCAGACTAGCCGAGCATAAAAACCTACCAAAATCTAATAAGAAACCTAGAGAATATTTCGGCTATATCACTACATGCAATTACACACCATACAATAGGATGGGATAAGGTGACAGTTTTAAAATCTAATGTCACAGGGTGGAGGGAGAGATTGATAACAGAAGCTTTGTTTATCGAATCAACTGCAAATACGTATAATAGGAATGATTCAACACCTGTCCCAGATATCTGGAAAATTCTACTGCCCATATGACAAATAGCGGATAACAAATAAAAGTATAAAAGGAAAGTTTCCAAGTCGTGTGATTATAATTGATATGATTATGAACAATAAATTTTGTTCGAAACGTCATCCAGTAAATAATACTGTTTCATTGTGTGATAAATTCAATAAACAAACCAATATGGAATCACCTACTACCACAGTGCCCAAGTTTTACACATAGATTAGAATCTCAAATGGGATTCAGTGCGAATCAGGTCTTCTGGAAGAATAAATTGATTGACGCAATTCAGTCTGCACCAACACCGAGGACTAGACGCATGACACTACTTACTATCTAGCGCCAGTTCACAGTACTCATTAGAGTCCAACAGGTCAGTCGCCAGCCCAGTGGCAACGACCGTAACTGCAGCACTGGGTGATCCTGATTTGAACCTAAGAAGAGACATGAGTTCCTTCAAGGTTGCAGACACACCTAGGTGGAGAGTTCATAGAAGCATGAGACCGGGATCGAAATCTTCCTGCCTCCAACTTTTAACGCTTAATTTAACTAAAAGAAAAACTAAGAAAATATCTAGTCAACAGAGGGTTAGTCATTATTGAATGCGCAATTGTTAATGGAGTATTACCTGAGTTAAAGATTCAACGATCAAATCTCTGCTAGTATCAGCCTAAATGAGAACGGATAAAATTGTTTCCAGTTAGTGAATAAATCACTAGTTAAACGAATAAAAGTGAATAATCACGAATAACTAGAAAATGAATATGGAAAGTTACTAATGAACATATCTGAGCATTAAAAAAGATAGGAGGGGTAATAATACTCTGGAGTTATTTAGTTTCAAAGTGGTACAAGGGATAGGTTCCTTCAGTTACCAACGTCACTTATAAATATAGTGAATGTAACATTGTTTAAGTTAAGTACTTCCTATTGGTTGATTGTGTTGAACCGAAACGCACGGTGTCTGTCAACATTTCGGTTCCTAGTAGGAAGGCCATAACGATGTCTGAAGATTGACATATTATTTTTGTTGGTAATATAATGAATATTTTAGACGCGTTATATGAAAACAGACACAACTACTTGGCATGATTCACAAACACTGATCATGAACAGAAATTTGAGACATCGTCCGACTTCAACTATAAACGGTTGTACCTGTCTGACAGGGTTTCTTAAATTTTAGTGGAAATATTCATATTTGATGTCTGGATCCTATAGAAAGTGAAAATCTACTATCATGATACTTTATAACTTGGGAATGCGTCGAATAATCAACGTACAAGAGTATGAAATAGTTTTTCACGTAATAGACAACGATAAGGTAATATTAGAATTCTGTTTCTGAATTTCATAGTTCTTTTCCTTATATCTTTTACTGACACCGTTCTTATTGTAGTGACCCATTTTATTATTCATCATCGTAGTATACTTTCACTAAGTAATTGGACTCTGATTTGTTTATCATTCTAAAGATTGCGTGTTAACAATTGATACATTGTACTCAATCAACTTTTGACTATTGCGAAAATAGACGTTCGTACTCCTTCTCAAGTGCCTTTTGATTTACATTGTGGATGTCGAGTAATCAGAACGTTAGGACATAATAATAAACACGAAGAAGCACTGGATACACGTGTACACTAGTCTGGTCAAATAGAGCAACACAGCAGTTTACCTAACGAACTCAATGGTGGTAGTCATGCACCGAAGAACTGAGTTATATCACGAAGTGACATCAGTTAGAAAATCAGGGAATACTGGACAAATGTTTCCTCATAGTTCGGTGGACAAATACTCGTTGATAACATTAGCTTTCGGCTGTGTTATATGTTGCGAATTGGCAGAAGTTAGAATTAATGAATTTTATCCCAGTGGTTGAATGGTCAGTGATCTGAAGATCCTGCGTAGTGCTTATGAAGAGTAGGGCAGTGTGACGAAACAGCTGTTCAGTACTTCCTGTTTCTAAATATTCTTTTGTTCAATGTCAATTCATGATCTAACTTGAAACCAATCAAATCCCTGAAAAGCGACATTTGAAAAGGGAACGAATTAACGAATAGCCAGTAATAGAATTAAAATGATTGTTTTGTTTCCCACACCGACTGAATGACGCTGAAAACTACTGACCGTAGGAGTTTTAGTTTATTTTACAACAGTAACATAATCACTAAGTGATTACCTAATGACTTCATGTTTCATTTTGTAAGGATTTGAATATAACTCTTTCAATACTTCTGCAGCCGATTTCAGTTATATTTTCAATAGACTTCAAATCTCACAGTGAATCTGAAAAACTTTCAGAAACTGGCCTACGTACGATTCATATATATAAGCCAATTTAGCGCACTGAACAATCGTAACTTATGTAACGGATGGTAATTAAAGCTGAAGTGAAAATCCGATTTGTTACAGTATTTGAACCAACCAATCACCTACAGACTACTACTGGTCGAGTGCTCCACAGGCTGACATGGAAGTCTGCTGCTAACTAAATAATCATTTCACTGCAGTTATCACACGTAGTGCTTAGTGATTGAATGATACGTAACTGTCCACGTATAATTCCCCTTTTCATTCATTTACAAATATAAAAAACGACTAACGTTTTGCTTGTTAATGAAGTGTCAGTTAACTCACATTTTTGCATAATATAATTCCTAATATTCTCTTTTGACTCATACTTTGTAAGTGAGGTAGCATGACTGACTGAATGAGTTTCGACATAAAGCACTGCATAGAAGTGCACTGCACTTCATAGAACACACAAAAGTAGAGAAAAGAGGAACAAAAGAAATTCAGAAGAACTACAATGAGCAGAAATTTACGAAAAAAAGAGCAGTGATATGGAAAACCATGAGGATTTAATGAATCAGGCAGACCACCAAGAGTGAATGTATCTGCGCCACTGAGTCTTATCACCAGCAGTCTCAAGCCATTAGTTTTTGGCATCTCGAGCCTCTAACCAGGCAGTGTACACTTCCCTACATGGCTCAAGGCAACTGTCAAAGACTTTATAGATTGACGCAGTTTTGGTTGAACTGTCCCTAACTCTTTTTCAACCTCATCCTATGTCAGCTAACATTACTAGACGATAGAGGCAATGGCTAGGCACGTGCAACACGTGTCTTAGGCATCACAAATCGATACAGGTTCACGACCTCCTTGATTGACTCCCCTTCCTTACGTAGCACTCTACGCCTAACCTAAATATACCTTACCTATTATACCTTTTAACATGGGAGATGGAAGTCACGCAGTCTAAGCCTTCACGCATATGCATTTTTCTTGTAAAATTTCCTAGCAATAATTACATGCAAGTTTGACACTTTTAGCAATAGAAGTAAAATAGGTGATGAATGCACTATGCATAGTCAAATGTCTTCCCACTGGTTAAAATCTGTAAGCTGAAGAAAATGCACGGGTGATATTCTGTGAAAATATTCAACAGTTTTGGAAGTTTAACTACCTATGTACTAGAAAATTCTGAAAGGATAGTAAACGCCTACATAACACGTATTTTTCCTACGTGTCAAGCGGTGTAAGATGAAACTGTTCTAAGCCCGACAACTGAAAACACGTTGGTAGTAATACTTTATTATCCACCTCAATAGATAATAGATTTTTTAAATGTATTAACTCAGTTCACTCCGACCTACTTTACGGTTTTTCAATCTTTTCGTTCAAATGTTCGCGATATAGGTTTATATAGATTAGAGTCTTCAGGTTCTTGGAATGTTGAGAAACAATTATTCGAGACTGTTTTTGAAAGGTTATTATTAATATAAGTCTAAATGTATTCATCCCTATCCCTTTTAAGACTATAAACCTTTTTACTGCTCTTCACTAATTCTTCCCCCTCCCCCCCCCACAGTACGCTACTGTCCGTCTTAATATTATTAAATCTCGTTTTTTCTTGTTCATCCGTGAATTTTTGAAGTGAGGTAGCTGAAAATGACGTGCATATGTACAAAGTCCTACGCTAAATTATCAGTCACTGCAACTTATATACTTTTATAAATTAGTTTATGAATAATTCTGTAAGTACTAGTGTTTGTTTACAACGTCATTTAATTCCTCTAATGGAAAGCGATTCTATCCAAGAGCTCAATTTTACTACTTTAACAAATTATAGTTTATTGATCTCTCAGAATTGAGAATATACCTACAAGAACTATTTACTTCACTATAGGTAAAACAAAGTTATTCTAACAATATTAATCCCATTCAACTATGCTTCATTTCGTCACACAGGTCTACACCTAAGCGAGCTGGAAAACCCTGATTCCAAACATATGGTGTTCATGGGCTCCAGAATCCGAAAGGATCGAATAGTGTGAGACTGTTTTGGTCATTTGTAATTGTTAGCACGTTGCTCCGCTGTCTTGTGGATCAGACTTCAAAGGCACGAGGGTAGCCCCTGAGACAACTATCTGCTTCGTTAAGGTCATCCGAGAAGTATGCCAGCTCTCGCACAAACTATGGGATTTTGTATGAGACATCTTTTTCTGCCCATAATGTGCCGATTTTGTACCTTAATAATAATAATAATTACAGATAACAGTCATGAAATCGTACAAAACAAATACATCTAGTATCAATTTCTTTTTTTGAAAAATTAATACTATAGTGCTAACTTACAATCCATTGGTAATAAAAGTATAAAATGTAATCGAATATTTGATTACCACGTATACACACACACACTTCAAAGAATCTAAAGAAACAAAAACCTATCACATAGATAAAGATAGACAAAATATTTTACAAAAACAAAACATTTCATTATAAACTGGTTGTCATTATCAGTCCTGTTTAAAGTTCACTTCGAACCGGTGTGATTCTGGGCTTCTTGGTACGTTTATGACGTTTGGCAGCTGTCTTGGACGCTTTACGAGCTGCATCAGCTTCCAGTTTCTCTTTGATCATTTTCTACACACAGGTTGAAGAAATACAGGGGGTGAAGTAAGCGATAGAATAAACACCGAAACGAGTGTATCACAGACAGTGAAAAACAAACAGACACACTGTTATCACTTTAGACTGTTTTAAAACTAGGCTAAATTAAGTTAACTGATATCAATTAGTTCGTGATGAAATCTGCACGAACCCGACACGTCATTCATTCAACACTAACTAATTATTCTAACGGTCAAACAAACAGATATTGCAAACGAAATGCATGAAACTTGATTCAATGATACTTGGTTGAGCGATAAGAAGGTATATACAGGGTATTAACAGATAGTTTTTTCTACAGTTAACTTTACTAGTTGATGTACTGCATTTGGTAGCAACATTGTCTCACTGTATGAAATGGATATGTGAGTTATATGTAGTTAGTATATAGTTTTTACTAAATATTTCAGCAAACCCATAGTTAATTTGCTGAACCAGACAGTTATGAAACACCAATTCTTTGATGTACTTTCACCCTAATAAAAACTAGATTTCATTTACTCTTCCTATACCAAAATATGAGCTACATTTATAGTGTGAAGCTTGATGAAATTATGTAAACGCAGGATTCGAGTCCGGAACTTGAATGACTCAGTGAATGACTCACACCACTTTTCTTATACGTGTAAAAGGAACGTCATGAAGACTAATTCAAGAATAGCCAAGGTTAGCATATGTCTTTCTGACCTGATTTAAACTACTTTACCATACAGAAAAGGTGTATGCAAATTTAGCTATTAGTTTTGATGTTTCCTGCAAACATTCAGTGATTATCTCCACTTACCGAGAGGAAAAACAATAATCAACCATGAATTTAAGTAAGCTTAAAACAATCACATTCCTAACAAATTCATTAACTAAACAAACCAATATAGCTAACTGATTGACCAACAAGTAGTAGACATTCCACAGAGGGAACATTAGTTACATCTAGATTGGAGATACGTCTTTCTGACGAGTGCCAATAAGCATGAAGTTCATATTTTACATATACTAGGTTAAAAACAGCGTCGGTGGCATAGCGGTTAGGACGCTCGCCGACCATGCACATGGTCCGCGGTTCGATCCCCGGCCGATGCACTCCTTTACCTCTCTAAGCCAGAAATAATTCTGGTAAAGAGGAAAGGTTGGGCATGAGGCTAGCAACCCCATCCTGTAAAAGTAAACACTGCTACAGAAACTTCAGGCCACTAGCTTGAAGCCCTATGTTCCACTGGGGAACGTGAAGGAAAAAAAGAGGTTAAGAACAAAATATGTTGTGTGAGAGATGACGATAATACCCGATTGTCTATATTGAATTAGTGCACAGAGTGGGACTCGAACCCGGGACCTAGTGGTTGAACATCCTGTGCTTAAGTAAATGAGTCGCATCCAAGACATCCTACCGACTGCTGTCAAACATCAAATTAGTGCGTAACAATAAAGTGCAGTATGAGCATCGGTTGGATACATTAATCAATTGAATCTTAAGTTAGCTCACTAACTCTGTTAGTATTTGAATACCGGAAGTCAATATGGTTAAGCTTAAAAATTATCATTAAGAATATTAACATATAATGATGATAATAATAATTCAAGTTAACAACTGAACACTTCTAACCGTACCAAAGCGTCTGAGATGAATGAAGTATTTACATATTAATAAATTGCGAAACGTAAGAACAACACAAAGTTCATTGTTTCAAAGTACAATATTTCAATTTAATTAAGTGCAATAACACAACAGCTCAAATTTATTAGATATTTAGTTTTGTAGGGATTTGAATTAAATTCATTGTACATGTCACCACCAGCCAACATCAGTTAAGGGACCATTGAAAACCAAGTAGCATTGGACAGGTGTTTCATCCTAATTTGTAACACTTCATCAGTGAGCGACCCCGATTCCCACAAGGATCGAACCGAGAACCATTAGGTTACGAGGCCAGTACATAGACTATTCGGTCACTGTACTGGAATTCAGTGATCTCTGAATTCCAACTTGTATCAATTCGTAATGTAGCACTACTGCTAACCAATGCCGCTGATATTTGACCTTGTGACCTGAGGATCCTGGATTTGATCTCTGATGGTGTTATGAATGCGCACTGCTCAAGAGTTTCGAAATTCGGCGAAACGTCTGTTCAGTGCCGCCATGCTTTCAATAATTCTCTAACTGATGCTGGTTCGTAACTATGTCGACATTGAAAAATTCTTTTACGTCCTTTTATTTTTGTTAAAAAGTGAACAAAATGCAAAAAAGAAGGGAAAAAACAAATGAATGAATGAATGAAAACGTGATTAAAAAACTGAATTAGTGAAGACGTATACAGCATATATTATTTTCACTCATAACCCTTTACTTAAAAATTTGAAGTTCAATTTAATACTACAATTATGCATATTATCACACACACACACACACACACATTATTTCTAGCTGTGATCTAGTAAGATTTTACTCATATGCAGATCTCGTATTTTTGTCACTCCTTTGCGTTCCGAATGGAATACAGAGCTGCAAGCTTCAGCTGCGAAGTTTCAGTAGCGGTACTATCCTTTTTACGCAGTGGGGGTGCTAGCTGTCTCACGTCCAATGTTTTCTGGCGGCCAAGCGAGGTTTGGGAGTGCGTCGACCCGGAGTCAAACTCAGACCACATGCGTGGGGTTAGCAAGGATTCTACCGTTGAACTACCGACGCCTGATCTTAACGATGCAACATTATCCAACAAGCATTAATATCGTCAACAACAATAATTCTTCAAGTGTTGGAATGTCATCGGCGAGAATTTGCACTCACACTGTTCGAATGGTTCTTTAACCAATGTCAGTTCATGGTGAAATCCTGAAAGAATTCTTTAATTGTTACGGTCATATAACTGCAGAACTTGTAGAAGTTATCAAAAAGAATACTCCTTATTCCCTAATGAACATATTAAAATTACTAATGAGCATCACTTCTTGAATGAATAAAAAAACAGTGATTACCTGATGTGAACTAAACTCATTCACATAATTTTCTTCGCGTGGAATAAAATTCAATTCTTGTTCAGTTAGATGTAATATATTTTCATCTGATTTGGTCATCAGTTTTGATTCACGCAACAGATTAAATGACCATTTTAATAAATTTGATACATCATCATTATTATCATATTTAGAATGATAGGCATCAGGAAAGCGTAGGATAAGATCACATAATACAGCAGTATTTTCAAATGTCAATGCAAATGCTGAAATTAAATACACTTTGGCTATTAAAACCATAATAATAATAATAATAATACTAAAAGGAATGATAACTGATTAACTTGAATATTTGCCTCAAAACAAAAGGTAACGTTCTCATTGACGACCACCTGACTATGTTAGATGACTTTAAAGAGACTTCAGTCGAACAGCTTACTTTTCCTTTTGTAAAATGAATATATGTGTAAATGAATGGTGCTATATACTACTGATGAATGACATGAGTAGTTGGATATCACCTATATTACTCATTTTAATCTATCAGTAGCCAGTCTATAGCATAGTGCATTTTTATATCCATTCATAGTCTCAAACAGATGACATATTGTAACCTGAATATTTTCGGTTTCCAAAGGAAACTGTGGTGAAACCTGTAAACTGCAAATTGGGAAAATTGATGTAAATATTTTTTAGAAGCCAAGAGAATAACCATACACCTTGGAAACAATGAGACTTTATTATGCGAAGCATAACTACATTGAATACTTTTCAAAATCTTGATAGATTAATTCGACTTACAATATACAATAAAGGTGAAATTTCTATAACCGCCCGGAAAATTTGTCAAAAGAGTAGTAAACGATGATTATCGCAACTGAAAATGCATACAGCCTACGCATTTTTAGACATAAATTCTCTGAGATACAAGTATGATGTAATGAGAGAATATATCACCAATGTAGAGATTAGATGAAAAATCTAGTACCATAACTCAAGTCAGTCAGTGTCATGTCATGGGATTGCATACACTATACATGGCTCCCACCTCCCCAGACTAGTTGGAAACTACAAACAGTAACCAAGCCAAAACATGACATGGAAGTGTCCGTAAGTCGTTGTAAACTGTATACGACAATGCCTCGCTCTTTTATTGCATAAGTGATCAAAATATGGTCGAATCAACTCTGTATCTATCGCCTCTATATACGTGTATTCATTCCATTGTCTGTCCACTTTTCTCAAGTTCTTTATTTTGGTGTTATTTGCAAAACACGATGAAGTGAAATAAGGAGTTTCAGTCAATGCAGTTACATTTCTCTATGAATATCTCGATATAATTGCCTTTTTCTCTTATTCAAATGAACACCAGTAAGGAGAGAAAAAGTCTGGAGAACATGTAAACATGCATATAAATCGAATAAACAACAAAATTTGAAATGTTTAACTGATTACTTTTAATTGCAAATCTATCACAATCCACTACTTTTATTTATTCTTTTGCATTTCAAGCGAAACATAAAGACTTCAGACTTTAAAGTTCCAATAGCGTTGTTGGTATTTTCACAGGATGGGGTTGCCAGCTTTGCGTTCGACTTCCTCTCTTTTTTAGGCTTACTACTGGCTGTAAAACTAGGAGATGTTTTCGGATTGTATCGACCAGGAATCGCCCAAGTGCCTAGAGAGCATTCTACAACTGAACCACTGATGCAACATAAATCCACAACGGTATCGAGAAAAGTCAATCAAGGATGGTGTTGAGACATTTTCACAGGTAATCGATGTAAAAATACAGTCTGATATAAAAGATGAACAACTGAAAGTGTGTGTATTCGTGGTGGTCGGATTGACAGTCACCACATAAGATATGAACAACTTTACACCAAATACAGCTTTATTTATTCCGATAAACAAAAGGTTAGTGATCATTATAGTTATAACAGTTTATTTGAAAGGACTCGAATCGGTAACACACTGAATTAAATTCATATGTTCAAACCAATGAATAGTATTACGAGGGAACTGGGATATGTGGATGAATCAGCCACTGAATGATAGACAATGCATATGCATATCCTCAGAGTTTTACGTTCCATCAATAAGAAGAGGCTTACATATTTTTGACTATATTACGTGAAATTCAAATTTCAATTGCTGTAGGAGAGAATACTCACTTTGTCCTAAAGTGTCATCTTTAATCTCTGAGTGGACATCCTTTAAACGTAGTGTGTTATATGAGTCTCGAAGAAGCTGAAAAAATAGCAAAAGATGTAAAGAAGAAACACGAGGATAATTTGCCTTAAATGTTTATATGATTACTTCATGGTCTGAAATATTCCCATATAACGAATTAAAAGACAGTCTGTAAGAAAAATACCCTTTTCAATAAATTCTCTATAGGTTTATGCAGCCATATCATACTGAGGTTTTTAGCCGATACATTTAAACACAGCATGCTCCTTGGACTTAAAATTAAACTACTATCAGGTTGTATTATGACAAGATAAATAGTGTTTGCATGAAAAACAAATACTGTTTTAACTGCTCCTGTGCATCAACATATGTGGGATGTAAGATTAGGCAGGTGTGTCTGTGTTCTTTCGAGAACACTTACCAGACTGGTACACTAGGTATGAAACTGAGTCTATTACAAGCTCAATTCTATCCACATTTAGTCGATACACAACACACACGTGGTAACATTACCTTCAGTCTTATATGTTAAAAACCTAAAACACTGTCACATGCAGTTCGTCTACATCTGACACACCTGACTGAAGCTACAGTAATAAGATCAATCGAGTCAGAAATCTGTATTCAGATGAAACACGTTTAGACGTTTTTTCTCCTGCGGCCATCCTTAGAATAAATACTGTCCTCTTCATCATACATTCCTCTTTCTCTTGTTTTCATCCTTTTAGTGTAAACAACCCTAGTCACAATACTTTAGAATTTACACTTTTCACACTAGCAATCTTCACACACCCTACACGTAATAAAAAACTCATCATTATGTGTAAACAGCTACTTAAATGCAGGATTACATCATGAGCTAACGTTGAAAGAGAACCATTGGAAAATCTGGGAGTAGTGGACAGCTGTTTTGTCCTAGTTTGGGACTCTTCATTTAAGGCTCGAGGCCAGGGCCTTCCAGCTACAAGGCGACCTCGTAGACCATTAAGCCACTGGGACCCAATCCAACGACCAGTCCGTGAATTCTAACTTCTGCCAATTCACGATATGGTGTGATCATCGGCGAGCATTTATCCAAACACTAGACCTGTTGTACCCCACTGGTCACGACTTCCTACTAGAACCTACCTGAATAGGGCCAGTCACTAGTAAGCATCAGATTAATATTCAATAACAAGGTCCTGGGTACGAAAGGCGCTAGGTGCGTACTGCTGAAAGGTTCCAAACTAGGACGAGACAGGTGTCTAGTACTCACAGGCTTTCTAATGGTTCTCTTCCGATGTCAGCCTATGATGAAGTTCTGTAACCAATCATTCAAACCCCTACAAACCGACATTATAATATTAAAACACAATTATAATCAATTTGACCTATTCCACGGTATGCAAACTTTTCACAGATATTATTCAAACACCTTGTTGAATTTTTCAGACATATCGAAAATAACGAGGTAATCTGATTTAATATTAGTGACAGTATTTCCTTTCTCATTATATGACTCGACTTCATTCATTTCAAATACTGCGTGTTTCATGATGTATTTATTCACTGCAGTCATACTAACTTCCGTTTAGTAAATACCATATTTGTACTAGCCACTTACCGAACAAATTTTACAAACTTAGACTAACTTATCAATTTTCATCCAATACATTTTATGAACTTATTGCGGCCAATTGTCACCCTGATGCATTGCACACTGTTTTGCAAGTGCATTTACCTTACCATATATGCCGTACAAATGCTATTTGCCTTGTCATTAACAGTCTGAAACCAATTTGATTTTAAATTCGTGATCACATCCTACGTCAAGGTTTATCGATCACATTTTTTCCTCCCTTGCGTTTGGGGTAGAACAAAGGGCTTCAAGCTTCGGAGTTTCAGTAACAGTGGTGCTTTTTACAGGGTTGAGTTGCTGTCCTCATTCGCTTATACCGGCTAACTACCGGTTAGTAGGCTTACGAGAATATCAGACAGAATTTAAACCCGAACCTGTCGGGTGGTTGGGAAGGGGACATTCTACCCTTGAACTACAGATGCATACCCAGCTATTAATATACTGATAGGAAACAGATTATTTTATAACTGTGTGGACCTAAGGATAATTTATTGAGAATACTATTCTTTTAAATGGACGTTTATATAATGCATCAAATCTATCAGATGGACACCCATGGTATTAAAAAGCCGACCACAAATCTAAGTATAAAACTTGGGCACTGTTGTAGAGTATAACTCCATTATGGATAAGATTTTATTTTGATAAATCACACAGTGTTGTACAGTTATATTAACTGATGACGTTTCGAGCACAAACTATTGCTTATAATCATATCAAGTTACTCACACAACTTTTTTCTTTCACTTATGTACATGTGTGGAATCGATTAGATATTGGATTAAGAATCAATGTGAGATAAGGTACATTCAAAAATAATAGTACGAGTGTTACTGATCAATTATAATAAGATGGGAAATACGACGAGTGTTTTTATAGTCATAATAATTTATTTGTTAGAATGTTGTGATGTGTTTGAATTGAAATAGAATTTTAAGATTATTTATCCTCCTCTTCTGATTTAACCGGCGGTAATAATATCTTCCATATTTCTGGTATATGCATTGAGTTATTTCTGTTGCATGTGTTGGGTGCAGACTCGATGAATAAGGATTCCGTACTCAACCTCTCTCTCCACCTATCTATATTACTTTTCAGAATTTTAACCCTGCCCCACCCTATTGTGTGGTTGTTTGTTAATGCGTGAAGTGCAATAGCTGAGCTTTTTTTCTAAATTACTTATCTTTTCAGGGTCTACCATTCTTCCCTTAGCTAAATTCTTAAATTCTGATAATCTGACTACCCCCGACCTACTAGTTTGACCTATGTAGTTGACTTAGCTCACAGTCATTGCAAGGTATCTTGTAAATTATATTATTTTGTTTAATTGGGTCCGCCAGGTCTTCTAGCCTATAGAGCTTGTCTCTGAATGAGTTTGTAGGTTTGAATGCCACCCTAATTCACGTAGGGTCTCAGATGTCCCCTCCGTATATGATAAAGCTATCGATACCTTAAATTCCTTCTTATTTGGGTTATCATGATTGGTTTCACAATTATTTTTATTTTGCTTTTAGTCTTATTTGATATTCCTAATGGATTTTCTGGGATTGTTATTTAACACCAGCGTCTCTTCTGTCTGTTCCATTTCATCGTTTCGGTCTTTTCTTGTGCTACTTAGTGCTATTGCTCGGTTTGTTAGACACTTAACTAAGCCTGCCTTTACAAACAACGGATGAGATGAATTAAGATCTAAATATCTATTAGAATGCGTTGGTTTTCTATAAACGCTAGTGTGCAGTTTACCTTCCTCTGTTCGTTTTATCTTACAATCTAACATAGCTAATTCTTCTTGTTCATTTTCTGATTCAAATGTGAATTCTATTCCCTTTACTTGTGAGTTTATATGTGTAAAAAGCTAGAGATATGTTCTGCTTTTAACACTGTGAAAGTGTCATCCACATATCTCCACCAATTTTTTGGAGTAGGATTAAGTGTTTTAAGGGTAATATTTTCCCAGCTGTCCATAAATATGTCTGCTACAATAGGGGATATTGGTGATCCCATTGCTGCACCTTCTGTTTGTCTATATATATTTTGCCTTGGAACTTAAAGATAGTAGATGTGAGGCATAACTGAATCCCTAACATAATTTCTTCAATGGGCTGCTTTGTCCCATAAGTGAGTTCAGGATATGCAGTTAATTCTTTTTTAACTGCTTCTAAGGCCATACTGACTGTAAAGACTAGTTATACCAAAACTAACCATTGTTTCATCAGTCTCTAGTTGAATGTCATTTAGTTTACTTTTCACCTCATATGATATAGTTAATCTAGAGTTTGAACTATTTCTAATGGGACAAAGTATTAGAGCTAAGTGTTTTGATAATTCATAAGTGTGGGTATTTATAAAATCTGCTATTGGTCTTATGGGGTAACCTGGCTTATGTATTTTAATAGTACCACATATTCTACTAGCATTATTAGTTTTAGGCATTAAATTAAACCATTTAGACTCACCCAGTGACGGCTTCATTCTCCGTATTAGTTCTGCTGTAGATTTCTTAACCTTATTCACTATTGTATCTACAGGCTTCTTAATTTCCTCATATGGACCCGTCTGAATATGTCCAATAACTTTTTTGATATAGTCAGATTTATTCATAACTACGGTAGTGTTTCCTTTGTCAGCTTTTGCGATGACTAATTAAAGCTTCTCTTTCCGATTTTGTTAAGTTTGATCTTGCCTTCTTTTGATTTTTCAGGGTTAATGAACATTGTGCTCGAACCTCTTCTGCTGTTGTCTTATCTATCGAACTTAGTGCTATTTTAAATATTAAAAGTGGCTTGTTAGACGAATTCCACTGACACTATGGTAGCAGGATGTTCCGTATCAGTTCGCCAGATTTTCTTTGATTTGTAATTTTTGATGCAGTCGGACTGCTTTTGTGCATTACTGTTGATACTCACCGATTTCTGTTCGACTTTAATGTTTCACAGCCTGAGATTTTTCATCAATGGTTCATAAATAGTAATCGAATCCATACACCTGTCAATAACATAATCATCTGAATGACAGACTTCAATGAATGCTTTTTGCTGTTGCAACATTCATACGTTCAAATAATTCAAAGCCTCCCGAATAACAGGCATAGTTATCCACATAGTCTATCCACTATGGGAAAGAATAGTCGGATCATCTCATACAGTGATTACTGAATTCTTTGTATTTGATTTTGTGAATAATTGTGAATATTCGAAAATAACGCTATCCAGGATTTCGTGAGACACATTTCTGCTGAGAAGTTCATCAGAAAAATGAGTTTTATTCAACAAATCTTCGTCCATAATAATTAGCTTACTGGATAAATCAAAACAGTCAAACAGTATAGTTTACTGGATGACGTTTTGAACACAATTCATTGTTCATAATTATATCAGCTGTATTTACACAACGACGAAACATGATTTTTACAGTTCTCCTTCTTCATTCTCTGTAGTCCTAGGGTCAGTGAAATTTCCCAGATAACGGAAACAGGTGTTAAATCATTCATATTGCACGTACTCTCACTTGATTCGATAAATAAAGCTGAAGTCATTGGTCTCTCCCTCCACAGTGTTATATTACCTTTTAAGGCATTTTCTTTGGTGAAGACGCTAAAATGTGGAGTCTTCTGAGCACCTTGAGCAGAAATCTTTGAATGCTTGCCATGTGATTCAGTCCTGTTAAAAAAACATGACTGGTCCGAACGGACTCATAGTTTAAAGATAAGGATTCAAGTAGTAGAGCGTGTTGACCACTTCACTTATTTCGGAAGTTGCATCAACCCCAATAGACTGGCTGCTGACGAAATCCCAGAGCAGATACATAAACTATGTACGGCATTTGCCGAATTATGACACCTCTAGAGAAGACGTGATATTCAGCTGTCGATTACAGGAAGTGTGTACTCCATGGGAGTTCTCTTTGTCCTTCTTTTTAACTGTGAGATGCGGTTGTGGGAAGTAAATCTGAAGAGGCTATCTTTGACCACAGATGTTTGCGCTAAGTGGTGTAAATATGGCGAGCAACACTGATCTTAGGCATAGAATGTTAGGTAAAGAGAGAATGCCAGTCGATAAGGTTATGAAGCTCAATTTAGTGAGATAGCTAGGACGTCTGTTATGCATGCGAAATCATCGCCTTCTTCTTCCGACAATGTTAGCTGACATAGGATTAGACTGGAGAAAAGTTTTGGAGTAGTCAGATCAAAACATGAAGTCTCTGACTGCTAATTTGAGGTAGCCAGATAGGGGAGGGTGTAGACTGCCACGTTGGAGTCCTCAAGGCGATGGGAACTAGGGGCTTGAGAGTGTTGGTGATATGGAAGAAAAACATTCTCAATGGCCCCGATGCATTCATCCATTTTAATTGCCCATATCCAATAAATCTCCATTTAACTATTCATTCTCATCTACATTTCCGTTCGTTATAGTTACTTTTGCACTTGTCTCTACCTTAGTAACCTGTCCGTATAATATCTTGAACTTCTGCACTTTTGTACTGAGTTTTAAAATGAAAATTCAGTCATAGTCAGTCACCAGTTTGGTTACTAAAGCACGATCAAAAGTATGTGGTAAGGTATTCAGCGTCTAATCCTGGGAAGAAAGTACGGTTACGTAAGACCCAAAAGATTAACATTATTGCATGTCTACAGTTGTTTACAAAAAAACACCCACACAAACAACTTACAGTAATTATAGTGTCGAAGATTCGCCCAGCAATAGCATCGTGCTGAAATGCGGGCACTTCTTTCAGAATTCTAGATATTTCATTCAATTGAATCTCTCTTTTAGTACGAAATGAGGCTTGATTATCTATGTAATTTGTTAAGTAAAATAACCATTCCAATGGAATAGATTTTTAAAACCATGTTATTTTCGAGGGAAGCAATACGTATACCTATTAACACATATGCATTATTAATAGCACATAACTCAAAGTTGAGCTAAACCAAATCATTAAATTTAAGGTACAGCTGTGGAAGAGACCTAAGATACTACAAAGCAGATGCGCAATGATCTTTGATACTGACTGGTCTGTACGTGATGCCGACTAGTGGACATGACTTCAAGGGACGATAAACTGTGCACTACATATGAATTTCAAACTTTACAAGCAGTGATTGAAATGAATCTCATAAGTTAGAAGTGGTAGTAACACACAGTGGTGGGCGACAAAAGCCAAAGAGATGGAGAAAGCCTTGAGGATAGGCAACACCAGGCAACTCTTTGGACTCATCAGGGAAACGGGTGGGAGAAGACAAATCATTAGTGAGACAATCTCGGAAAAAAATGGCACTATAATTAGCTCCCAGGATAGACGACTGGATCGTTGGAAAGAGCATTATGAGGAGCAGTTTAATTTGCCCACAGCCACGCTCAACCTTCCGAGCATCCAACACCTCCCTGAATGGGATATAGACACAGGTCCTCCGTCACTAACTGAGGTTACTAAAGCTGTCACCAATCTGAAACTAGGCAAAGCAGCGGGACCTGATGGAATGACTCCAGAAGTATTTAAGTACGGTGGAGACAGTTTACTGTCTGCATTAACTGAGGTACTAGGCAGCGTCTGGGAATCAGAAGAAGTCCCATCGGGTTGGTGTAAGTCACTGATTATCCCCATATACAAGAAGGGAGACAAGTCTTCCTGTGATAATCACAGAGGGATTAGCTTGACTAATATAGTATCTAAAGTCTTAGGCTCAATAATCATGCGTAGACTGAGTGGTGCTCGGGAAGCACAAACACGAGAGAGCCAGGCAGGCTTTAGACCAGGAAGAGGGTGTATTGATCATATCTTCACCCTCCGACAGATTCTAGAACATAGGAATTCCTACCGGCGTCCAACAGTCATTATATTTCTTGACCTAAAGGCAGCATTCGACTCTGTCGATCGGGAAGTTCTCTGGAGATGCTTGGCTGTAAAGGGAATTCCAAGAAAATATATTGCACTGATTAAGGCACTCTATTCGTACTCATACAGCCAGGTGAGGGCTTACGGCGAGCTGTCATCTGAACTGATGACGACCAGTGGTGTCCGTCAAGGATGCCCATTATCTCCTTTTCTATTCAACTTCATCATAGATGTGTTAATGGACTTAACCCTAGGTGACTTCAGCGACTCAGGGATTGACTTGCTACCAGGGAATAATCTCGTTGACTTGGAATATGCAGACGATATAGTCCTTCTAGGCGAAGACGCTGACGAAATGCAGAGTCTTCTAAACACCTTGAGCTGCAATCTACGAATGTTTGGCATGCGATTCGCTCCCGCCAAATGCAAGATGATGTTACAGGACTGGACTACATCGACGCCTAGTTTAAAAATAGGAAGTGAAGTGGTAGAGCACGTTGACCGCTTCACTTATTTGGGAAGTACCATCAGCCCCAACGGGTTGATCTCTGACGAAATCTCAGCACGAATACAAGGGGCTCGTTTCGCATTTGCCAGTTTACGCCGACTCTGGCGTAGACGAGATGTTCGACTATCGACCAAAGGGCGGGTGTACTGCTCATCAGTCCGCTCCGTCCTCCTTTATGGTTGTGAGACCTGGCCACTGAGAGTGGAAGACATGAAAAGACTAGCTGTCTTTGATCATAGGTGCCTGCGTTCTATTTCCCGTGTAAAGTGGCATAATAAGGTGAGCAACATGGAGGTTAGGCGTCGAGTTCTAGGTAAACAGGGGAAATCAATCGACGAAGTCGTGAAGCTACAAAGACTGAGATGGTTAGGACATGTGTTACGTATGCCAAGCCATCGCCTCCCTCGACGAGCAATGTTAGCGGATATAGGGTCAGGCTGGAAAAAAGCTAGCGGCGGTCAAACAAAAACTTGGCATCAGTCAATGAAATCCACAACAGTTGGTCTAAGCCACGTAGAAAGGTGTAGACTTCCAGGCTGGGGTCCTCGGGACGGTAAAAATCTATGGTTGGAAACAATTGGTGACATGGCTCAAAATCGTTCTCAGTGACAGCGCAGATGCATCCACTCCCTGTGACTTATGATCTCCAATGAAACTGTTTTGTTATTCTTTATTACTCCTTTGTCTCACACCTCTGCTCACTGTTTCTGTTATGCTTTTCTTGTACTTTCTTCTCTTGCTTCGCGTGCTACACGGAATGTGGCGACTTGAACTTCCGCACATTTGTGCAAAGTTCTATGTCGAAAACAGACAGACAGGTAGTAACACACTACCGGCTAGACGATATTTAGGAGTGCGTCGGCCAGGAAATGAACCCGGATCTCCCACATTCAATAGCGGAATGATTGCCAGCCAAGTGGCTTGGGAGATAACATCAGGCGTTCGGAATAAATAAATGAAAACAAAAAAAATAAAACAAAGCCCGCGTCCTGAATTTCACTGTTAGTCACCTCCAACCAAATAACATTATGGAGTACCTAACCTGTCGGATGCTTTGACAGTGTTCACGTGACTTTATAATAAGACATCTGTGAAGGTCTATGGGATATCAGACTTGATGGTTGTGTGTAGGGTAACAACTTGATATGATTATGAGCAATAGTTTGTGCTCGAAACGTCATCAGTTCATATAACTGTAAACACTGTGCGATTTATCAGAATAAAATCTTATCTATAATGGAATTATACTCTACCACAGTGCCCAAGTTTTATACTTATATCAACGGGTAACAAGAAGGTTGTATGCTGTATGCATACACCCAGCCCTGCTATTTGACTCAGTGGCTAAATGGTTGACGGGCTGGTCTAGTACCCGAAGGTCTTGAGTTCCATTCCTGGTGGGATCATACCTGCACACTGCTGAGTAGTTCCAGACTAGCTGTTCTGTATTCCTTTAATAAAATTAGTCAATATAAATATGACTGTCAATCTGAGCAATGCTGGTTTGAATTACTGTAATTCGTAGAAAATATGTAGTAGCTAGAAAATAAAAAGAGCTAGAATCACGACTTGGTCGACTACGACATATGTGTATGAATGACAAAGATTTAATGATTGTAAAGTGAGCACTCTGAAAATGAAATAATGTGACGATATTTCTGCTGAGTATAATTTTTACTCGTGTGCCTAGGCACGAAATATAATGTTGAGAACGGATTACACATTACTTAATTTGTTATAATGATTTGTTAAAGGATACAGTGTTCACTGTTGAATGATGCAGACACAAAGACAAGCACATTTACCAGAAGAACGAGAACAGTATTATGGTAATGCAGATTCATTTATCTATAGGAAAGAAAAATAGACAAAAGAAAATCAAAATACAATCAAAATTATCATAATTTATAATATTATGCTACATGAGACAGTTTATTCTAGGCTATATATACTGATAAGCATTCGTCAACAGATCATATACCTGAAAAAGCTAAATGAAAAGATACAGCGTAAAATTCTTTTGGAAAATAAAAAAGGATTTGGATAATTCAATGATCAAAATATCGATGTTACTGGCGAGCTACTAGAGGACGGAGTTAGTCTGAATAGTGTAATGTTTTTGTGCGATACATCGCGAAAAATCTGATAACACATTTACTTGTTAAATCAGTTTATATGAAAAATAAAGGGTCAATTTTGAATAGATAAAATGATAAGAGTTATTTGATATAAGTATAAAACTTGGGCACTGTGGTAGAGTATTACTCCATTATGCATAAGATTTTATTTTCATGCATCACACCGTGTTATACAGAAATATTTACTGACGACTGCCTTTAGAGCACAAATTATTACTGCTCATAATCATATTAAGGCACTCACACAGCTTTCTTGTTTCATTTGTATACATGAGTAAAATTGACTAGACATTTGAATAAAATCAATATAAAATAAAGTACATTCGGAAATGATATTAGTGTCATCAGTAAAATACAATCAAATGGGAAACAAGATATTTTTATAGTAAAATAAATAACTTGTTAGAATGCGAATTGAATACACTTTAGCATCATTTATTATCCTCTGATTTGAGTAGTAATAATATCTTCCATACCTCTGGCTTTTGGAGGAGTCACTTCTTTTGCATGTGTTGGGTGTAGACTCGATGAACAAAGACTCAGTAACCCCATTGGCAAATATTGTTGTATAACACTGTTACTGTATCAAAATAAATTTTATCCATAATGAAAGGGTTATTTGTATAAGTGAATTTTTGATTTTTCCGTTGATTGATTGGAACGGAATGTTGACAATTCGATGATATCTGAGGATTAGCTTGAACTAATTTGACTGATGGTGACTAGTAATGGAATTCATAACGCTCATTTTATCCTATTTGGAACTCATCACCCGATATACCTACATTCTCCAGTGAGTGATAGTGTTCCCCCTGAGATTCAAACCCTGTAACGCATCGTTCCGTACGCCAACTAGTTATCGACTAGTCCAATCAATCAACAGGAAAATCAAACATTCACTTACACAAATAATAATTGATGCCTGTTGAGCAAGAGGTGGCTCTCGTGGTCTAGTGACTAACGCTTTGGAGTTTGAAACGATGGGTTACTGATAGAATTCAGTTTGCACCGATAGCAAGGACTAAGCGTATGACATTAGCGACTACTTAATGTCTAGTCAAAGTACCCATTAAAGTCCTACAAGTCAGTAGCGAGCACGAATAGCTGTGGCAACGTCCCTGACTGTAGCAATGGGTGATTCGGATTCAAATTTCAGAAGGAATATGAGTCCCTTCAAGATTACTAATACGCCTTGTTAGCAAATGCCAACAATGACGAAACCTAGTCGAAGGCTTTCCGCCGATTGCTTCCAACCATCTAACAATAATTCAATAACAAAGTAAGTAACTCGATGACAATCAAGCACGCCTACATAAACGAATAAATTGAAACGACAATTTCCCTTCAGTGGTTAGCAGGGAAACTAATGTAAACAAGTAATAGATTAATCTCACAATAAAACTGTACAATGTAAATTCGGAAAAAAAAATCATTCTTCTGTCAGCTACGAGTTTTTTTCACTTCAGGTATTAAAAATAAAGAACACTAAGCTTCCCTGTAGAGAAATTATGCTTCAGTGGTCATCATAGATATGAGATCTGGCACCCTTAGATCAGTTGTCAAATTGCCACACACACATACATCAGCATATGAAAGGATTAAAACTACCTCGAAATCTCTACCCTAGGTAGTTGTTTTTTACAACGGTCAAAGGGCATATTCCGGGAAACTTTCAGTACATTGACTGAAATTAAATAGTGTGTAGTGGTCTGACGCTAAATATGTTTCAAACACACTGTGAATTAATTTTGGCGGTTCCACTTAAACGAAAAGAAGTATGCCATTAGGCAATCAATTAACATATTATTTACTACAGAGAATGTAAAATACAAAAATATAAGAACCATGTGACATCTTAACAAAGAAACGCTTCATACAGGTGACAATTACTTATACAAATGACTGAACAATTGTGTTTTCCTTATTCTAATTAGCTCAAAAACGTTATTCACTTATACTATGGTATGGAATAAAAGGTCAAAAAAAGACAATTCGGTCTGCATTAACTTTCGTAACAGCGGTTATGCTGCTTGCGATGGAATGGGCTAGTGCTTATACATGGATCAATCATGAAAATTCTTATATATGTCCAAACCAAGTTCACTTTTAACGGTTTGAAAAATTTCGGGCATTGGGTATATGATAATCTTTATAATAAAGGTTTTTTTGTATTTCCCAATGAATGAAAAACAAAACGATATTGTTTTTACTGACGTTTCGCTATTTAATGCTAGTAGCTTTCTCAAGGTATTATTAACAAAAAAACCTTTATTATCATGAAAATTCTTGTTATTTTCATTATATTCCCAATTGTGTTCTTATGCTAATCTGATTTGTTGTTTATCATTCAACCAATCGAATATGAACCGCCAACTCGACTACAAGAATGACGAGGAAACAGACGAGCTTTTACTTTTTCCACAACAGTGAGCGAGAAAAATGCATATATATATATATATATATATATATATATATATCAGGCATGGCGTTGTTCCAAAATTAGAACACATAATTTAAGTGTTGATGGCGGATAGGGGGGAAACAGCTTTTAATGGAGTAAGAAAAGTAAGAAGAACACCATGGCATAAAGACAGTGCCAAAACTTTAGTCTGAGAATTAAAGCATAGTGTAAATTTACAGTTTTCACGAAAAAGAGCTCCTAACACTCCCAGAAATAGTTTTGATAAGAAAGAATATTACATACTTTAATAGCTTATGGGTAGCGACTACATATATCTTCTAGGACTGTGAAAATAAAATCTAGAAATCAAAAAAGATATGTGCGAATAGACAATCGATTTGAAGAGTTAGGGTGTGGCTAATTAGCTAGTAGAATCAGAATTTAGGTAATAACACAGTTAGCTATTACTGCGTGTGTGATTCTAATATTTGAGAGAGGCTATTGGAAGCAGTAGAAAGGCTTAAAGTTAACATTTGCACAGTCAGGCATAAATATTAAAAACTTCGGCACTGGGGTAGTGTGTAATTCCATATTAATTTGTTTATTAGATATGTTACAAAGTGAAACAGTATTATTAACCGAATAACGTTTTGAGAGTAATTTATTGTTTATAATCATATTAGTCTCACAACTGACCTCTATTATGAATCCAATGGAGACTGACTGATAGGATTCAGTCCGCATCAACACCAAGGGCTAGACATATGACATTACTCACTTCTTAGTGGTCAATCAAATAAGCTAATCAAATGAACTGTAGTCAAGATTTGACAGAATAGTTCTAAAATATTTGGGCGCCGAGTGAGAAGTAGACATTTGCAAAAAATTATATTTGTAAAATCTCAGCAATATTGAAGTATTATTAGTTAGTGATACATATCCATTCTTATTTATTAATCAGGATTTCCTATGCGTCAGCTAACATCATACCTTCATGTCAGACATGATAATAATACTTGGTCAAAGTTCCTGACTGTCTATATCTACTTATGGAGACGTTAAGACATTGTTTTACAACTGTTTATCCTCACACATACACACTGTGTTTAAAGTGTTTAACAAAGGTAGATCAATATTTGTAAGTTTGAGGTAAAATTTTGGTCACAACTCATACAATTTTGTTTACTATACTTGTTAATACTTGTTTTATGACTCATGATTGTACAAAGTTTTTTAAAAACAAAAAATGTTCCTTTATATATAAACCTCTGTTATATTAATTTCGATTAATTTCCCCGAAGAAGTTCGGACCAGATTTCCGAACGAAACGGTGGAATTACTCATATCAATATCGCCGAGATTTTACAAATATAATTTTTTACAAATAAGCTAATGCTATTACAAAATTGACATAACCAACCAGAACGGTCATTGATTATTCAGTAGACATTATTTCCTGAAATTTCAAACTGATGTAATTGGGAAAAATAATATTTCTAAAATCTCAGCGAAATTGAAATGAGTAATTCCAACGCTTCGTTCGGCAAACTGATCCGAACTTTTTCAGGGAAATTAGTCAAAATTAACCTACGACAGGTTTTTTATATAAAAAGGACATCTCCTATTTTAAATCATACTTGGTCGAAATTCCCGACTGCCTATACTGACTGACTGGCTTCAACATGGAAATCTGCACCGATGTGCAACACTACGAGTCGCCACATCCATTTAGCAAACAAAGAAGGAGAAAAGAGTGAAGAGAGATTCAAGAGAGACAATAAACAGAAATATGATGCGAAAAACAGTAATGCGGAAGAACAACACTAGTTTATTAATTATTAGAAGTTACAAGGAGTGAATGCATCTGCGCCAGCCATTGTGAACGACTTTGAGACATATCAACAATTGTCTCCAGCCATCTATTTTTATAGTCCCGAGGCCCCCAACCCCCTACGTGGCTTAAACTAACTGTTGTGGATTTCATTGGCTGATGAAGCCATGTTTCTATTTGACCACCACTAGCTATTTAACAACCTGATCCTATATCAGCTAACATCGCCTTTCGTGGAAGGCGATGCCTAGGCATACGTAACACACGTCCTAACCATCTCAATCGATGTAACTTCACAGCCTCGTCTATTGATTTCCCCTCTTTGCCCAACACTACGCCTAACGTCAACATTACTTACCTTATTAAACCACCTAACGTGAGAAAGAGATCGCAGACATCTATGACCAAACACAGCCAACCTTTTCATGTCTTCAACTCGTATTGGCCATGTTTCAGAGCCATAGAGAAGGACGGAGCG